TTGGATCAAACATGCTGTATTCCTGGTCGGGAACATGTTGAGTATGTTGAACCTGATGATCTCCCTTGTTTCTTATTAAGCGTCGATGCTGAAACAGCTTTTGACAGGGTCTCACATGTTTTCACTTTTAGTTCAATTTTTAGTGGTGCTCTTATTTCGAATTTGAAAATCTTGGTATTAGAAGCAGTATCAAAATTTATGGTTTCATCTCGAAATTGTTTAATATTGGTCGTTCTGTGCGTCAGGGGTGACCTTATAGGGTAACCATGAAAAAGGTGGATTAGGTTTGGTATTAATCAAAGAAACAGAAAAATCCTTTAGACTGGCCTGGTTATCCAATTTTCTTCAATGCTCTGTGGAAATTCTACATGACATAAAAATGTGTTCTGTTCTATTGAACTTTTATTTATATCTTATTCTACAAAGGGACTAAGTTCCTTGCCTAACTTTTATGGCTCTATGCTTAGAGCATGGTATGATCTTCGTGCTTGTGGTGAATTTTTACCTACATTAAGATAATAATGATATTTTGATGCAGCCGCTATTGGATAATCGTTTTATCCAAGGGTTAACCCTCAAGTTAACCCTAACCCTAGGTGACCTAGTGGTTTTAGCGCTCGTTCGACAACGTTCGTGATCGAATTCCATTTGCCTAATTGCCTTTGACCCCATTTTAACTAATTCGGGGAAACTAGCCATTAATTATTTTTGGATCATTTAAGCTCCTATGTTACATTTTTCTCAACCAATTTTTGATGAAAAGATTCGCTACGAAGTATTTTTTCGTTTCATATGCGGAAACCATGTCTTTGAACCAGCTATATTCCTTTTCTGAGCTAATCCTATTTGCTTTTGAAAACAAGTTAATCCAAGAGTTAACCCTCCAGATAACCCCAACTCTTAACCCTAGGTGGCCTATTGGTTTTAGCGCTTGCTCGGCAATTCGCCTTGGTTTTAATTCCAGTTGAAGCTTTTTTGAAATTTCTTTTTTTACCTCTATAGTACATAGTTTCAGAAACAGGAATTCTTTTAGCTAAGCTAATCAGTAATAGTGACCACAGCTTACTGACAAAATTTCATCCTTTAATCCATGTGTGTTTGTGTCTTTTCTTAAGACTCTGCTATATATAGAAAAGAAATAGAAAGAGAGGTATGTTCGAAGGAATTAATCGATTTTTGTACATTCCCAGTACTTCTGAATATTATTTACATGTTTTCAAGACCCAAATCAACCCCCGGAAGTGGCGAATTCTTTCCTGTAATAATGTTTGTAGGTAGGAATATAGCATTTTGAGCCTTTTGCAATTACATTATTAAAGGCATGTGTCCAAACAACACCCCCATTCGTCATACTTCCTTCCATTTATTATCCTATTTGCAAAATTTTGGTGTCTATCAAAACCTTGTTAATTTTTCTAAAACTCGTTTGGAACAGAATTTTGAATTTCGCATATAAGTTTGTTTATGCCCAGGTGAATTTTTGAAAATTTAAGTCTATATCTTGTTACCCTGACCTTCAATGACCTTAATTTTTCAGTGTATAGATTGCCCTTGACCTCTGCTATCTATAGATATCCTGATATTGGATGAAAAATATCAATTTGTGGATTTATAGCCCACCGAAATCTGACATTTTTTCAACTTTGGCCGACTATACTACATTTCTCTAATAAACACAGGAACTTTTTTTTAGATTATTAATGGCTGTGAAATTCTCTTTGTAATGATATATGGCAAAAATGAATAAATATAGCCTAACCAAAAAAAAAAATTGTTCAATAGCAGTTCTTATATCAAATGCACCACATCAATGTGGTTTACATAATAAGAATGCATTCAGAATTCTCTTTAACGATATTTGACGATAAATTTAATAAAAAAATTAAAAAAAATTATGATTTTATCTCATAAAATCCTAACGTTTCAAAATGATAGACAGGGTGTTAAGCGTGTTATCAAAAACTTAAACTTAATCAGGGAACAAATTAATCTCATAACGTAATTCTTTAACCCTCAAAAAATTTATCTATTTATTTTGCGAAATTTTTGCATACAAATTAAAAAAATAACTCCATATAAAACATTGGAATTTTTGTTCTATCTTATTTATAACTCAAAATAATGTTGAATACTTGTGAAATATGCAAGTATTTCTTTAAACGTAAGTAAGCAGCAGACGATGTAAATTGGAGAGTACACTTTCTTTCAACAACATTTGGAAACCTTTCATTTTAAAGACTGCCAGTGGCTCGTCTAAGATAGGGTGGCCCTTTCCCGGGAATTTAACATAATATATTGTTTCTTTCTGAGCCAATTTAATGAATATTAATGAAATATATGAATGTCAGCATGTCGACAGAAGTCAAATTGACAAAATTTGATGAGAGAAGTCGTCCACAAAAGTCATATGATCAAATTTCTATCTGGGGTGACAGAAGTAGTATATGTCTTTTCAGATATTGCGCATCCAGTTTGATCCGGTTTTTGAGATGGTAGGTATATGTCTTTTCGGATATGACGCATTTCACTTCTGCGCATGCGCAGCTTTTTCAATGCGTCATATCCGAAAAGACACAACTGTTAAAATATATTATAACAGACTTCCCCAAACTATTAAAATGTATCAAAACAGACTCCTCAAACTGCTAAAAATATATTATAACAGACTCCATATAAATTACCCAAACCACAGACAAGAATCACTATAATAATACAGTATAAAATAACCGCATTAAAAAAAAAATAAAAATGTCTTTAATTTTAAAACACGAACAACAAAAATTCGAAGGAGACGGTTTCTTCTCTGCGCTAACATCTCTCATCCCCATAGTGGCCAATTTTGTCTCAAACAACAAATCCCTCATTTCCTCAGAAGCGCAAGCTCTTGGATCTGTGGCAAAAGCAGGAGTAAATATTAGTGATGCAGTGAAAAAATCTGACGAACTTAAAGAACTGCTGCTAATAAGAGAACTAAGAAACAAGAGACTAGAACGACAAGCCCTAGAAAAACAAGGAAAAGGGTTTAAAATCATTGGATAAAAATGGCAAGCAAAAATTACAGATTGGATCCAATCTTTTAATTGTATGATCCGATTCAATATCCGTTCAACAAGAAGAAAGAGGATTACGTAATCATCTCACCATCGGTAGGGACAAAGACCCAAATAAACGACAGAGGAAGAGTTACCTTTGAAATTAATTCGTTGTCCAATTGGTTGCTGCTTTCCGATGCCCATTTCCGATGCGATTTCAAAATTAAAGACGCCACTCAGAATCGAATTCCACAAACCAACACGACTTTAGAAAACAACTTCTTTCCGTCTTTATTCAGCGAAATGGTTTTGGAAGCTGGTTCAAATCCGATAGAGACCATAAAACACCCCGGCGAGTTTGACACAATGTTGAAAACGGTTCTGTATCCCAAAAACTACGATTCAGTTTCGGGATGGATTCCCGATGTCGGTGACGGAGAAGTTTTAAAAGAACCGGTCAGAACTGTAGCAAATGACGCAGACCTTGCTAGGATAAGAGTAGTTGCTAGAAACACACTGGAAAGAGTGACTCGCGGAGTAAATCACAGATTTGAAAAACGAGCGCTTCAATACAACAATGTTGTCGAGAACAACAGATGGGGTAATTACGTAAATTGGAAGTTGTATCCTTTATTTGGTCTCTTGGAACACAGAAAGGTTTCCATAGGTTTACCGTATAAAATTCATTTGCAAAAGAGAAATCAACGACAACAAGAAATTCTTTGGTGAAAACAACTCTGACGCAAAATTGGAAATAACGAATATCCAACTTTACATACCGGTAATCACTCCTTCCGTAGAAGTGGAAACGAGAATATTCAACTCTTTAACCAAAGACATCGAAATTGCGTTTCTTCGTCGTAACACGGTAGGTAGCATGACTTTAACGGGAGAATCCACCACGTGGCCAATCACCAACACCGTCAAACCAGCGAGATATCTAATGGTCGGTTTCAAAAACGTGCCAGACTCTCAGACAAACAACAACAACATTTTCAGAGTGGCATTGAACCATACTCAAGATCCCATCATTCGCAAAGTTCAAGTCAGATTGAACAACGATAATTATCCCAATCAACCTTTGACAATTGATCCTTCCAAAAAAGATTACAACGAATTGTACAGAAACTATAAAAACATATGCGAATTGTTTGGAAATACGCCTCAGTTTGAATACACAGATTTTTCACTCAATCATCCAATCTTTTGTTTCGATCTGTCAGCTCATCAAGAAGAAAAGAAAACAGGGGTAAACATAAATATTCACATCGATAAAACACAAGGAGATGTGACCGGCTACTGTTTATTGCTGGAAGAAGCAAAACATTTGATTAAAATATCAGATAGAAGAATTGAATAAAAAAACACCCTTTAAAAATGAAACCAGAAACTTTAGTCAAGAAAATAATAGAAGCTTTAGAAACAGCTTCACCAACTACAATAACTTATAATGGTAAAAAAATCAGCATAACTAAAAAACTTATTGATAAATATTGTAAAGTCAGAGACGATATAGACTTGGAAAGAATTGATGAGAATTTAACTAAAAAAGGTGGATTTTTACCTTTCTTACCTTTAATCTTTGCTGGTTTAGCTGCAGCTGGTGCAACTGCTGGTGGAGCTGCTGGGATAGCCAAAGCTGTCAACAATAAGAAAGCTGAAGCCGCTGCAAACGCCGAAGCACGTAGACACAATTTGGCAATGGAAAGAGAAGCACGAGGAGGTTCGGGAGTAGGAGATATATTAGGGACGGTTAAAGAATTTGGACAAAGATTTGGCAAAGAAACTAAGAAAACTGTTAAAGAGGGATTAAGCAAATTAATATATAAAATTGACACTGGAGAAATGAAGGTCAAACACAAGGGCAACGCCATATTTTTTAAAAACATACTTTCGGGCGAGGGAATCTTCCTTTCAAAGTATAAAGGCAACGGGGTGATTTTTGGTACGAAAATGTAATAAATAAAAATGGGCAAGAAATTCAAACATTCGGACATATTTCCTAGTAACCCAATGCTCATGTGTATTTGCGGTAGTTCAGGTTCTGGGAAAACTCATCTCACTTTTAACATTTTGACAACACCAAACCTTTTAGATTTCGATTCTCTGTATATCTACACAACAACACCAGAGCAATCGTATTATCAATTCCTCAAAGCTTTAGAATATTTACCAAAGAAAGACGTTCAAGACATATTTCAATATTACGAAGAAAACTAAGAAGAAGTGGAAATAAAAGATATCATAGAAAACTTCATTAAATCAAAGAATCCATCTTTCAATCCAACGGATATAAAAGTTTTTCTTACGAAAAATGTTAATGATCTAGACTTGTCTAATATTGATAGCAATCGAAAGAACTTAATATTGTTTGACGACTGCGTAGCGCAAAGAAATCAAACTGTTCAACAAGAATTCTTCACCAAAGGAAGACATCACAATTGTCACTGCATATACCAATCCCAATCTTTTTACGGGATGGATTCTATGTTCATTAGAAAAAATGCAAATTGTTTTTTATTATTTGAATAAAATGATAAAGATTTATCTCAAATCATTCAGTCTATAAATCACGGAATGGATAGAGATACATTTAAAAAGGTTTGTAAAGCACAATGGAGAAACCCAGATGATCATGGATATGTATTTGTAAATACTAGAAAACCTGCGGGAGAAAGATATATTTTAATTTTATTTTTTTAAAAATGACGGATTGGAATAATTTTTTAAAAAGAAATAGAGAATATATCAAAGCTAAGAATAAAATAAAGACCCAAGTTGAAAATAACAGATTACAACAACTCGGATTAACGGAAATCTACAGACTCTATTTCAACCCATAATAAAAAGTCAAGAAGATATTAAAAAGAGACTCGTTATAGAACCCACCCCTCATATAGAACCCAAACCGATTGAATATAATGGTATTATAATTAGGACATTAGATGATATAAAACGTCTTTTTTCAAACCCTGACCCAGATTTACCAAAGAGCATTTCACCAATCATTGATGAAGTGGGGTTATTGTTTAATGGTTTTAGAATAAGATTTAGTGGAAATTCACCACAATTCAAAATCGACACAAAAGACTTTATATTTACATTAACGAGAGGGTTAATAGATTTAATGAATGGCGAGGATCTTGAAATTGCCGATTACAAGGATTTAGTAGCATACTCAAAATTTCTACATGCGATCAGAAAGTCAGGACCCGGTAGATGATTATGCAGAAGATTATCCAATCATACAAGAAATAGACGAATTCGATGATATGGTGGCATCTGGACAAGGTATAATGTTTTTATCCGACAACAATAAAGAATTGCTTAATAGATTAGAAATAATATTAGCGGCCATGAAGGAAGGTCATCGATCTGACAGACAATACAACGAAGTCAATGGCATATTAAAACGGCTTTTGGAGAAAAAAATCATCACTAAAAAAGACTATATAAACGTCATTAAAAATGTCCAATAAAGAACAATTGTTCGTTATCACCTCGCATAAATCAGACATCAAATTGTCTCTAGACTACGAGTATGAACTTGATCGCAATAAACAGTACGAACTGGGATTAAAGTAATTCTCCGTTTACAATTCCATTAGAAACATCAACGAAAAAAACAATCAACTAAAAATATCGACGGATAACGGAGTTACGTTCAAAACCATAAGCTTACTACCGGGAAGCTACGAATACGTGGCCATCAACAATTACCTATCCGAATACGCAGGAAGCGTGAACGGCAAAAACAATATCGAATTCGAAGGTAATTTGAATCTGAACAAAATAAAACTGATCTTGAGAAATAACAGTGAAGTCGATTTCAACGTAGAAAATTCGTTGAATGCGTTACTAGGGTTCGATAAACGAATATACGCGCAATCGAAATTTGCGCCGCACAAGGCCAACATCGAGAACGACATCGACGTGATCAACATTCACTGTAATTTGATCAACGGTGGATTTTTCAACAAGCACAAACGCCAAATCATATACAGCATACCGACTTTTACGGTGCCGATCGGATACAGAATTATAGAGAAACCGTTTCAAACGACCTATTTACCAGTCAATTCTTTCATGATCAAAGATATAAATCTGGAAATCAAAGACGGTAAAAACAGGTTCATAGACTTTGGCAACGAAGAAATTGTCATTCAACTTCATTTAAAACAATCTTCATTCTCTTCTTGAATAGTAAGATAATCGAAATCATCAAATTCATAGTTTTCATCAAAACTATACTCATCTTTGTCGTTGTAAGGATACATAATTCATTCACTGTTTGGTGGTTTTCTTTTAACATTATTCAAATAACTTCTAAAAACTTTAGTTTGTTTATCATTTGGAATAACTACTCCATTGGTGAAACTTTTTTTCCATGGTTTATTAAATTCGTTCGACACATCATGTCCGCTTGCTAATTGAACGTAATCTTCTACACTTATCTTATCACTAGAATAACCTTTAAACGTTTTCTTTTCTTTTAAAACACCATCAGAAGTCAAAACGATGTTGTATTTGACTTTTGGTGCTAAATATAAACCAAATATAATTCCACCGTAATCGTTTTTACCTTTGCAATAGTCTTTTTCGGAGACCAAACCAGCTCTGTTTAGTTTTTTCCAATTTTTGGATGAAATGTACAAACTATCGGTGTCGGTATAGTATATTTCGGGTTTATAAAATCCATTTATGACGTGAATGAAATTGTTCATTATTTTTTTACTGTGAGATAATACGAATGATCCCAAATGACTAGGTGTTAGTCGTGTAGATATACTATCTTCGGTAGTAATCTCTTTTTCTTCAATTTTTGTTTCAACAATATATTGAGTATCATTAATTTTCTCATAGGTTTTAACACGTGAATCAAAGATTGCCTGTAAAGTTGCTTCATTCCATAAATGTCTAGTTGTGAATATATCTTTCTGAATTGATTTACCATACAAGGAATTACCTAATAATTTCATGCAGTTACTACCCACAATATTACCTTCTCGTTTATATTTATTTCTTAAATCTCTCAAAATTAAAATATAATCTCTATAGGGTGGAGTTTTAAAAAAATTTTCGTAAACTATACCATCTAATATTCTAATAATTCGTCCACCGGCTCTCACTATTTCTTGAATATCGACCGATGTTAAAACGTCGTTACAGAAACCATTTCTGAACCTGATTTTGTTACCAGTTTCCTTTTTACCTTCTTTATTTGTGAAAGTGATTTTATCTTTAGCTGGTATCGGTTGGAAGAACATGTTTTTGGGATAGTCAAACCACACTGTTAAAATAGCTGTTCTAGGTCTGAATTTTTGTTTATTGAAGAGTTTTACAAATTCTTTTTCTTCTTCTGGTAGAAACGGTCTTCCACTTTCCGCTCTCAGATATTCACTGTCTAAATCCGACATGGCGGAAGCGTATAAACCGTTAGCATCAAATGCCATTAGTTTAGTACATTCTATTTTTTTAAGTCTCGAATGACCTCCGTTTTGTCTTTTGTGCTTGCACTGTATTCTTTGAATAAATCAATTATGTTATTACTTTCTGTTTGTGAAATATATTCCTTT